GTCACGCGATGTCACATAAACGTCTATTTAAGTTAGAAGTGCAACATTCCTAGAATGCCATGTTAAAGCTACTAAATCTTTTCTCTATGACATTCATAACATTAGCGTTCCTGATAATAACCAGAAAAGGTCGAAAATTTTGTTTCGTTTCTTTGACGGCATTTCGACCTTGTCCAGGTTATTTAATGCCGGATTTTGACCTTTTCGTTTGCAAGAGGACAAAAAAAGTTACATATACTCCCCCACCCGCTCTTTTTAACGGGGGTAGAGGTTTATCCCTTGTTTCATGTTTAGGATTAGGTTTCTTGTTCATTCGAAAGACTTGTCATTCTTTTTCCCTACTAATAACCACTTGCATCTTAGTGGCATTATTGCCTTCTCTGGAATGTATTGATTTAAAAAAAATGTTTGATTTGCACGACAATAAAAAATAGAGGTTTTGGTTTTCACGAAAGACAAAAAGCCAGACATGGGTTTAGTGGGTATGAGGGTTAAAAGATAGACACAGGTAGAGTAAATAGGTGGGCACTTGCTGAAGGTATCCCTCTCCAAAGGCGTGCAGTTGCAGTATTACTAACCACAAATGAAAGGGGCAAGAATTGAACATATTCAAACGAAAACATTATAGATTTGGATGCTTTCAACAAAAATTAATGAATTCCATTGTCAATGGATGTCTCATTAAATTTTCATTAAATAATACAACAACGGTAAAACGCGGACAGCGGCAGTTGTGAAAACATGACAGACAGCAGCAGCAGTTGAAACCTAATCAGCAGACAGGTTAGATTTAAAGCTCTATGTTCATAAAAGCAAATTTGGTCTACTGGATAAAACCGTTGTTTTTTGTTTTTTAATTTTTTGACATAGTGATTGTGATTTCAATCCCTGGGGTCAGGTAATGTGTTCTTGCACTCAGTACCCCCGTAGATTAAATACAGGGTTCAGTTAGAAATTCTCTGTAGGTTACCCGGTTCGATATACACTTGACGGTCGAAACGTTGTGACAATATCCATGTGGATTACAGAATTGGTTCATGAATTTGGTGACAAAGTAATTGTGAGTTCAATCCCTGGCCTGGGCAGTGTGTGCTTGGACTTAGTGGAAACAGGACGAGCAATAACTGAAGAGTAACAAAAAAAAAGAACTAGACGAGGTATCTAGATATTAGCAGTTGAACGAGAACAGTCTATACCCGTAGATTAAATAAAGGGTTCAGTTTAGATTAGCCAGATCGGTATACACCTGAGGAAAATCAGAAGGCACCATGTTCGAAATATTATGATAACAACAACAAGTATGAGGACAATAGTCAGAATATAAATAATGCAAATACCAAAAGCGAACATGTCGTCAAATCAACTAACCGAAAGTTTGGTAATTCGCCATAATTTTCTTTCTGGGCTATACACGTAGAAAAAAGAAAAAATCAAAACACGTCGCTTTTTTTTTATTCTTATGCCTCTTCTTTTTTCTCTCTAATTGTTTTTTTCATTATCTGTTCAAACGGACAAGTTCATTTTTTCTGTTCTATATGGCGCACATTTTAATCTCCTAAATTATGTTTGTACGTTTATACGAAAAGAATTGTTTTAATCACGGCAAAGAAAACATGAGACAAAGACGCGAAATCTTCTTTGAGTTTTGATTTCAAAACATGGCCTCGTTTCCAATGTTTTCATCGACCTCAGTAAATCAAAAGATTACAACAATAACTTTTTTAATCATTTTACAACAAGGCAATAAAGCCACCAAAACGCAACGTGGTTACTGAATGTAAATAAGAGAAAAAGAAAACATTAAAGAGTGGACGATACAACGATTTCAGCAGATTGCTTTTTTTAGCAATCTGCTGAAATCGTTGTACAATTCGTAAAAAATGACAAATTAGCCAATATTTAAGAATCGTACTGAATACTGTCAGCCATATGTCTAGGTAAAATATTGACGAATTTAGAAATAAAACCTAAAGGGACAAGGAAGAGTAAACGCACTACAACAGTTTTAAGATGCATTTTATTTAGAACAGTATAAGTTGCACTAAAATCAGGGTAAGAAATAAAATAAGAAATTAAGAAAAAAATGCAAGCAGGCAAAAGAGGAATGACTCAATGAAATGTATGCAGAAATAGAAAGAATAAGCATTACAGATAAAAGTAGATATGATTTTTATTATTATAAGACAACTAACAAACGACACATTCATGAACAAGTTGCAAAAATCAAAGGACAGAATACTGATAATAGAAGAAGAAATATAGATCAAAAGTGGAGTGAGTTCATCAAAGAACTTTCCCACAACGAAACAGAACAACAGCGTGCAATACAAAGAAATATCGAAGCGTCAAAAATATTAAAATTTGAAGTGAAATCAGCACTGACCAAGTTGAAGAGGACCAAATCAGTAAGACCAGACGGAATTATAATAGAGATGCTGGCAAATTTAAATGAATTCGATATTAGCAATATTACAGACATAATAGATGTAATATACGACAGTGCTGATATACCGGAAGACCTAAGTAGATCTATTTTCATAGCACTGCTTGAGAAGCCAGATGTAAACAAATGCGAACTCCACCGGACAATCAGCATAACAATGTAACTTATCATCTAAATTCTGATGAATACAGCGCACACCAAAATTGGACCCGAAATAGCAGTTTCGTTAAAGACACTGGAACAATGAATGCAATATCCAAAAATAATATCAGAATGAGCAATAAAAATGCAAAAGGATATATACTTTTGTTTTATAGATTATGCAAAAGTGTTTCATAAAGTACACTTTTGTGCAAATTAATTGAAACAAAACAAATAATTCCGTTATTATTTACTTTTTTTTTTTGTATTTTTCAATAAAACATGATCCAGTGCACATGTTAGTACTTCGTCTGTCCATTCCACGAAGTCTTTCCTTGCAGATTGACCACAGATTCTCGATTGGATTTAAATCAGGAGAGTTTCCTAGCCAGTCTATAGTACTTTGATTTGCTCACTGATTTGCTAAGGCTTGCCAATGAGTTCGTGCAACGTTACAATTTTCAACGCTTCCTTGGAGTAACATCCATCGCAAACAATAGCCGTAGGACAACTAACCGACAGTCAAGACAAAAGTATCTGGACGTGATAAAAATCTGATCCAATTACGTATGACGCAATATTTTTCAATGCCAAACAAATTTCATCATACACCCGAAAACAAATTCATATTACTGCACACTACTGCAAATGACCTAATCTAAGGAAAAAATAGAAATTACACCCTGTCACTCCAGTGGGTCTAAAACTGACCGTATGGTGAAAGAAAGGAAACTAAAGCGGTTGTTTTAATTAATTTACACAAGGATGTAAGTCACAAAGAACTATTTGAACTGCTAGGTGAACTTAATATATTTTGGAAGGATATTAGAATCACCCAGAGCTTATACTGGGAGAAACCCGCCTGTCTACAAATAGAAAATGAATTCAATAAATACGCAAAAATAGAAAGGGGTGAGACAAGGATGAATCTTCTCACCAGACTTATTCACGCTTTACAGTGAAGCAACCCTGAGAGAATTCATTCACTACCAGGATCCGTTGTTGGTGTCCACAATCTTAGCAACATTAGATATGCAGATGATAGAGTATTGATAGCGGACACAGAAAAGGAATTACAGAAACTCTTATAGAAGGGAATAAATAAAAACGAGCCATTTTGGAGAGCCGGAAGGGAGAGAGCATATAGAAGAAGAAAGTTGTGGGTAGTGTGATGGTTATCAGCATAGAAAATGAAATCGGTGAACAGAGAAAAGTCATAAATCCTCCCTTTTGCTATGGGTTAAATAATCGTGTACATAGAATTCTCTAACAGAAGGAAAACTCTGAAGTCAAAGCTGTTGAGAGGACATCGAGAAACCACTCTTTAGTAATTCCATGATATTAAAAAAGAAGGAAGCTATGGAGAACTATGATCGGTTACGACCTCAACGACCATAGCATTTTTAAAAAAATATCGGCATTTTGAAAATGTCTACATTTTTATTTAAAATTTATTGATTATTGGAAAAATTTTAATGGCGACTTTGAACACGTTTCGTCTTTTGGGGGCACTTTGACGTGATGTAACGGTTAACAAGCATGTCTCGCTACATCAATTACGAGTAAGGAGTGAGTTTGATCCTCACTGAGTGTCCCATATTTTCGGCTTTCTGGCATATCTAAGCTACGCTTAGTAAATCTTTATATTGAGCACTTCGATGTAATGTAATAGTTAACAAGCTTGCTTCACTAAATCAGTTCCGACTGAATAGTGAGTTTGATCCTCACTGGGTGCCTCATAATTTCGGTCTTGTGCCAGATCTACACTTGGAAAATCACCATACTTTACATTATTTAAATTATTTGCATATAAAGATATATTCTTCAGTAGAAAATGACGTGCTTTTATTTGTATTTTAATTTTTATTTTATTTTGCAGTTTTTTATTTTTAACTTTATTTTTTACATTTTTTATTTTTATCTTTTTTATCTGTTTTATTTTTCTTTTTTAACTTTTTTATTTTTTGCTTTTTTATTTTTTATATTCTTTATTTTTTATCTTTTTTAACATTTTTTCATTTTTATTTTTATTTTTACATTTCTTTTTTATCTTTATTATTTTTGACATTTTTTATTTTTTCTATTTTTTATGTTTTTACTCTACAAGGGCGTGTTTGTTTCCTCTCGCTGTGGTAGCCGAGTTATGAAAAGTTCAGGTTTCTTTAGACCTTGTTTAACATTTGCGAATCTCTTCCACTTTACTTATACAAATTGTTTAATGGCTTTCCCAAAAAACATAGCGATTTATTTGTTTTCTTTTTTCCTTTCCATTTTAACCTCAAATTCTCTGCGTTTTTTTAAACACTTCTTCTATCAATGAATGCAGGGTATCAAAAAAATACAATCAACCTATTAAACACGTTACAGAATTTGTATATCTGGGACATGTCAGCTTATGAACAATCATGCAATTTCGCTAAATTACAGCCGAGGATGGGCAGCGTTCAGGAAAAAATGTAATGAGACTAAAATCGAAAAGGGGGTCACAACACAGAAAAGATAAAATATAATATTGTGTTGCAGTTCAGACCAAACACCAGGTTCGTCGACAGGATGCAGTTCAGACCAAACACCAGGTTCGTCGACAGGATGCAGTTCAGACCAAACACCAGGTTCGTCGACAGGATGCAGTTCAGACCAAACACCAGGTTCGTCGACAGGATGCAGTTTCTTACATTCAAACTTTTGTGGCTTTAAAATGACCTTTCGGTCAGATCATTACCTACAAAGGATTTCTAGCAGTAAACCAAATTTTATTCTTGGATTGTAAACTACTGCTATAAATGAGTGTAGTAGAAAAAGTGAGGGCACAATTTAGCGGCCGTCTTTCCTGTCCGTTCTCTGAGGCCCGTTTCGTACCTCTGTGTGCCTTGTTGCGGGATGGTCAGCTTTTATAGATAACAATTTTCTTTGTCTTCTCACCATCGTCTAAAAAAATAATTTATCTTCTTTCCGTGACTTTCTCTCTGACTGAGCCTCTTGCTCTATACTTTGAAGTTGACTTCACTGACTGATAACCATTGGTCGAAAGTAAATGTCCCGTGTCCATTTCTGCGACAGGTCCCTTTGGTTTTCAATTTAACAAGAACTTAGCTGAGTCATTTTGCTACAATAAGAAATCTTCATATTCCCTGTTCTTATGAATGCGACTTTATTGAATGAAAAGAGAAATATTCTTAAAAATGGAATTCGAGGGTTTCCAGAATCCCGTCATGGCCACAAAATAAATCGAATTTTTTTTCTGTAGACCTTAATAATTGATATGAACAGATTGAGATATATATGAACAGATTGTGATAGATAGATAGATAGATAGATAGATAGATAGATAGATAGATAGATAGATATGAACAGACTGAGATAGATAGATAGATAGATAGATATGAACAGACTGAGATAGATAGATAGATAGATAGATAGATAGATAGATAGATAGATAGATAGAGATGAACAGATTGAGATAGATAGATAGATAGATAGATAGATAGATAGATAGATAGATAGATAGATAGATGAACAGACTTAGATAGATAGATAGATAGATTTGATGAACAGATTGAGATAGATAGATAGATTGATTTGAACAGATTGATACAGATAGATAGATAGATAGATAGATATGAACAGATTGAGATAGATAGATAGATAGATATGAACAGATTTAGATAGATAGATAGATAGATATGAACAGATTGAGATAGATAGATAGATAGATTTGAACAGATTGAGACAGATAGATAGATAGATATGAACAGACTGAGATAGATAGATAGATAGATAGATAGATAGATAGATAGATAGATAGTAAACAGACTGAGATACACAGATAGATATGACGTCGGTGGATCAGTGTCTCTGTAACTTTATATAGAAATTATTCGTTGAATTTTATGAACCCAGTGCCTTGGCAAATGAAGGCAGTTTCGCTGGAAATAAATATTTGTTGTGTAAACCTAATGTTTTTTTTCAACATTTCGTTGCAGATAATGATTTATCTAGATACCTATAAAGTCTATCATTTATTTGAGAGATTTTCATAATTGCCCGCCAGTGTTCGATTTTCGAGCTCAGACAAAAATAAAAAGAAAAGAATTTGAAAGCTGATTTTTAAGGCTTATATCTTTTCTTGCTTGGGCAAAACTATCCCAACATGCGACACAATCTTCTTTCTGCTTAATTGTCCCATTCAACTATCTTCTGTCCGAAACTAAACTTAATAAATCTCTATATGAGTTTAAGATCAAATATGGATCGGAATCCGACAGGATGATAAAATAAATGAACAAATAGTAAACGTATATCAATGTAACATGTTTCATGTTTAGTAAAGCTTCGTCAGAGATTGAGAGGAAAAAGACAAAAAGATAAATAAACATTGATATTTTCAATTATATTTGGATCAGTTCTCATTGGTCACACACGTGTCACGTGTATGAAAACCGTAGATAATTCTATGTGTATGTAGGTTTGTGAAGAGTCTTGTATGTCTAAGTGGGCATTGGATGGTAACGATGAATGTAATTGTGTATGTGTGTCTGTCTAGTGGGAGTTCTATCTTCATCTTTGTGCGGTCAACTCGCGCAGTGGGGTGTTACAAGGTTCTAATTTATGGCTGACCTCTTAAAGAATATATTCTTTATATTACATATAAGCTAGAGTCTTTAAGACTGAATTCAAAGAAAGATGGCGATGTAATGTTTAAGGCGTAATAATGTTGTCATTAAGTTTTTGATGTATTTCTCTCCTTAAAGAATTATGTTCATTTATAATTAGGATGGCATTAGTGTTATGGTCCAAGTCCTTGTACCACGGTGATAGTCCAAGGTAGAACCAAAAGAGAAGAACTCGAAGGCGGATATGGAATAACACAGATATATTACAAACAGGAATATATACAGAGAGGTATAAAAGTGTTAGTAAGAACAATCAGGTTTAGTAGGGATAACAATGTAGTCTCGACCAGTATCACTATTCCAATGTCTTGTAGTAATTGTCTGAACGCGACTCTGTTTCAGACTGCCTCTGACTCGACTGACTGATTCGCTCGCTTTGACTGACTGACAGACACCTGACGGACTTCACTCCAGACTTCAGACTGAACAGTATTTAGTCACCCCCCCCCCACGAGGGCATCATGTGGCACAAGGCCGGTTTAACGTGGGATCTCCGAACCCGTGGGCTCTACCAAAAATATGCCCTTTGAAACCGTATAAACGAGTTGAGGGTCAGTTTACCTCTCCGACAGAGACTCCGCCCTTCGATTTTTCCAGTTACGAGTCCTTTTTTAAAGCTGATCGTTTTGTGTTCATTTTATTTAGTTCTTTTTTCGTAACAGATTTAATGTTTAATATAGAGCTTAGAAAAAATTCGCAGTGTGAGATAGGCAAGAAGTAAGGCATGTAGCAACATCAGCACGGCAAAGGGCACTCCTTTAAAGGCAAGGAAGGGCAAAAATATTTTAAGTCAAGTGATAGCGATTGCTGTATGAGTCATACGATTTTTGAATCAAGCACGGGCAACGCCGGGCCATGCTGCTAGTATTCTATAAAGGAACTAATTTTGTTCAATGAATGCAACTGCTTGGTAAAAATAAACGGAATCTTCAAGAGTATCCAAACTTGATCATAATAAAAGCTTAGATTTCTTGTTCTTTAAATTGTTAGCTTTTCATATTCTTTTTCCATAAAATATTTGGAGCTCGAATACTCACGAGAAATCTCCGTGGACACGTGACACTGTATGATCCATCGTATCCCTATCAGCTGCAATAATATACACTATTTTTAACCCGGGAAAATTTCAATATTCTGATGAATCTTCTTAATTCTTAAGCCAATATGCTCATGGTGATATCTGTAGAAACTCCCCTATCGCAGTGTTAAATATTTAAGTTCAACAACATGAACAAAATATTGCAATAACAATCATAAATTTGAATGTTGATCATTATTTTAAGAAGTAAGGGGGTACAAATGAAAAGATTTAAAATTGACAACTTTTCACTGAAACAGACGTTAGACCTCCCCTTCTTTCTTTCTTTCTTTCATTTTCTCACTGAAACCAAGTAGCGTCTTTTCCTCACTTTCCACGCGGTCAAAACGGAATAGTCCATTATTTATGAGGTATTGACAGGAGATATCAAACACTTTCATCTTCCCTTATTACTTTCCACGCGATCAAAATAGAGTCGATATTGGCAAGGCGTAATGGTGGTGCGAACTAAGGAAAGGAATAACAAGCATAATGATAATAGCATAAAAATTGTTTAATTAATATCTGTTAATTATTTTTTAAGCGGCCATTTTATATCGATCCGAATATTCAGTTTTGTAGCGAAGAAGGCACAGATCTTTAATACTTAACACAGAATTGGGCTTGGAATAAATAGAGATTTCTTTTCAAAATCTAATGAACACGGGCGGATATGGAATACGCTGGGTTTGAAAACTCTGAGAAGGAATTAGAATTTGTTGGGAATCTAGTTTATTTAAATGAAGGAAAGTTACGTAAATAAACTACGAATTATTTAATGAGAGTCAAAACAATTTTCTTCTCTATCAATTTTTTTTTACCGCAAAGTAATATAAACCCTACATTGATTTTTTTCTAATGTCCTTTATTTGTTATTATTCTCTTAGCAGATCGTCTTTCATTGTTTTTAGCTCTACTCAAGTGCTTTGGCAAGATCTCTTTGTTTAGGGAGCGTCAGGAATATATGTTTTTTCGCTAAGCATCCCAATGTGTTTTACCTTTTGATCGCTCTAATTCCTGTTTATATTCAATGTTATATTTCTACGCAACAGCTGCAAGACTTTGCTATTCTTAAATAGACTACAACTAATTACAAGACACATCGAAATGGGCTTTTTTTTCCCAGCCATATCTTTTTGGGCGTTTTTAAATATCGAGGTAAACCGACACCTTACACAAATAAAATATTTTCATTTGTTATCATTCGATAGAGAGTTCTTAACAATCGAATAAATTATAAATTTAATCGAGTTTTCGAATTGAATGCATTATAATTTGAATGAAATTTTATAATTAAATGAATTACAATTTGAATCAAATTTTATAATTAAATGAATTACATTTTGAATAAAGTTTTCAAATTGAATCAATTATTATTTAAACAAGGTTTTCGAACTGAATCAGTTATAATTTGAATGATGCTTTCAAATAGAATGTATTACAATTTGAAGTTTTCAAATTGAATGAATTATAATTTGAATCGAGTTTTCAAATTGAATGAATTATAATTTGAATAAAGTTTTCAAATTGAATGAATTATAATTTGAATCGACTTTTTAAATTGAATGAATTCAAATTTTAATGAAATTTTTCGAATTTTATTTTTGAAACTTAATAAAAGGGAGGTGACGATTACAAACCTGTAATTACTTAATAAGCATACATGAATTGTAAACAGTTCCTTCATAATTTCAGTCGCAACTCATGGAAATTAATCCGTCAATTAGAGAAAAATACTTTAAAATATAATAGACACAATTTGTTTATTTTATTTAACAGAATCTGTTTAAACGAACATTTGCTGACCAAATACACGCCATTTAAACACTATTTGATTCCACAACGCACAATGATATTAAAGCTAGGAAGTTTCAATGGAATCTCATTAAAAGACAGATTAATCTTTCCACTGAAGAGATTAAACACAATTGGATTAACGAAAGATGTATTTCAATCTTGGTTGTTATACAACATTTCGACCGTTGTTGCCTTCGGTCTTCTTCAGATGTCTTTTACGAGCACAACGGTAACCTCATCAATATTTATTCAACTCGTGTGGGTATATTGTTCTCAGCCTGCTTTCCATACCTTATGGGAGGTAACTCATATCATTTAATCATATGCTTAATTCATCTTAGTATCGCCTCTCTCTCTCTCTCTCTCTCTCTCTCTCTCTCTCTCTCTCTCTCTCTCTTTTCGACTGAACCAAAGTATATTACTTTTCGGTACTAGCTGACCCAGAGATTGAACTCACATCTAATATTAATTAACCTATGCTTTAATTCCCGAGGCCAGGGGGTCGGCAACCTTTTACTGTGTGCAGACTTAGGGTTTTAAAATCATTCCGTGTCCCAGAAGCATATGTATTTTAAAACAAGTCAAGGATCTAAGTAACGCCTTTATCCACTGTTCCATATGTCCTTGAGGACATCTGTGTATGAATTTCTGGGACTTATAGACCGAATGTCTTCAGTAACCATTTTTACCAGTGCTCATATTGTAATTTTTGCTGTTATCATTTCATGTTTTTACCAGAGCTCAAATTGCAATTCTTGTTGTTATTATTGCTTTTCTCTGGCACTCCTTATTACTAAATTAACAAGAGATAACTGATAACTGACATCCATTAAACATGGCACGTGGAACTAGAACCGTCTACCCCAGCGAGCGAAATAAAGGGTTCAGTTTGACATTCCAACCATCTGAAGAAGGCTGGAGCGTACAACGGCCGATACGTTGTGATAAATATGGCAACAAAGATGAGGACGATAGTCCGAACAATGTAAATAGTGTACATAATACCTCATCTCAGAAATATAGACAGAGTATAGTAGTACTATGATTTTCCGGGACCTTCTAGAACTTGTTTTTGTTTATTTATAAGTTTGTATGTTATGCTAAAGCTATAAACTGTTAAATGTGTTAAAAACTACATAAGTACTATTAAATTACATTATTAGCAAATTGAAAAATGAAGCTTCGGAAATATTTTGATTTTTTTACTCTTATTGGGCCATATATGGTAAAATCAAGGGAGCCATAGTGGATAGCAGCTTGGATTGAGGAATCAGAGATCTGAGTTGGAATTCCATTTGAATCAATTATATTCA